GGTGAGGCAAGGGAGCTGGGGGGGAGCCAGGCAGGGGAGCCCAGAGGGGGAACTGAGGAGGAGCCGGGCGGGAAGCCAGGGGAGAGCCAGGCAGGGGAGCTGGTGGCAGTGAGGCAGGGGAGCTGGGGGGCGGGAGCTAGGTGGAAGAGCTGTGGGGGAGCCAGGCAGGGGAGCTGGGGATTGGGGTGGGAAGCAGCAGGCGACCGAAACCCCACTGGGTTCAGCAGGGTGGCACATGACTCAGCCGGCAGTCCTGGGCCAGCATGACAGCCGCAGTGCTACTGTCTCACCAGTAGAGGGAGCCGCCAGGGCGTCTGGGGCAGCCAGGGGGGCCCTCGGGTGAATGCAGGGCTGGGAACTGAAGGCTGGGCTCCTGCCAGCATCGCAGCTGGGGGGGGGGAGGGGCGAGGCAGGTGCAGGCTGAATCCCGGTCCCGGGGGGAAATATAACCCCCCCAGGATCTCAGCAGGGGCCCCGCCTGGTGCAGGGACGAGCCGGGCTGGTCCAGCAAGGGGCGACGTGCCGAATTGTGGCAACTGCTGGGATGGTGCTGGCTGCCTACCGAGCTGGACGCAGCTGGCCAGGGAGCAGCAGCCCACGCTATGCTCTTGCTCTGGCTGGGCTCTGTGCCGTGGTGACTCCGGGACAGGGTGCTGAGGGGCTGGGCAGTGAAGCAGTTAATGCCATGGGGCCGGGTCCAGGGCCAGAGAAGAAAGGCCGGACACTGCACTGCACAGGAAATTCCAGAACCCAGATGGGCGTGGCCTGCAGCGGGTCGGCCCCCAGCATTTATTATTGATACCACAGCACAGCTGGGTGGGGCCCAGCCTGGAACGCAGGGCACCTTGGCCAGGCTTTCAGCTCAGCTGGCCCCTCTAGGAGTCAATCTGGAGTCACCCCTGACTGCAATGGGGGCAGGGCCGGGCTCTGAGCTCAGCTCCAGGGGTCAATCCAGAGTCACCCCTGACTGCCAGGGGGGCAGAGCTGGGCTCTGAGCTCAGCTCCAGGGGTTAATCCGGAGTCACACTAACACACACTGTACACACCACCACTCTCCCACAGCCTCCCCACAGCTGAGGGGAGCAGGGGGCTGGGGGGGGAGCTGAGGGCACTGGGCAGGGGGGGGCGAGGGAAGCAGGGAGAGCTGAGGGAACTGGGCGGAGGGAAGGGGGCGAGGGAAGCGGGGGCTGGGTGGAGTCCCTGATAAACTGGGACAGAAGCAATTGTGGCTCATGAATCTTTTATTGAACTGAATAAATCCCGAGAGAGAACGAGGGTTTTTGTTTGGGGCTGGTAGCAAATGATAGGGCTGCAGGTCGGAAGTGAGGAGCACCGGCAGAGCTGGGGCTGGGCTAACAGGGACTGCCGGTCGGGGGTGAGAGCCACTGGCAGAGCTGGGGGTGTCCATGGCTGAGCTAGCAGGGGGCTGCGGGTTGGGAGTGAGGGGCACTGGCAGAGCTGGGGGTGTCCATGGCTGAGCTAGCAGGGGGCTGCGGGTTGGGAGTGAGGGGCACTGGCAGAGCTGGGGGTGTCCATGGCTGGGCTAGCAGGGAGCTGCGGGTTGGAAGTGAGGGGCACTGGCAGAGCTGGGGAGCGATGCCCCTCCCCCACACTGTTTGCTTCCTCCCAGCCCCAGTGGGGTAATTATCCCAGGTACTAATCACAGTTGACAACAATTCCTAAGCTGGTTGCCTAGTTACCTGCTCAGCCAGCCCCAGGCCTGCACAGGACACAGGCTCCTCCCCCAGCCTCTGGTCCCTCCTGCCACACCTGCAGGGGTTTCCCCACACCCCCCTACAAACTCTGCTCACTGGAGTCCCAGCTAGGCACAGGCAAGGTGCTGCTGTGGGGAAACTCACAGCACTGGGCCCCATCTGGGCACTGCTGCAAGGAAGCTCACAGCATGGCGCCCCCACAGGGCACTGCTCTCTCCATGCTGACTCCTGCCCTTGAGGGCCCTGTGGGAGCAGACAGATCCACTACGGGATATTTATAGAGTCGTGGGACTCAGCACTTTGGAAAGGAATAAATAACTCGCCAGGACTCAGTGTCTTCATCAGCCAAGCGCTGCGCTCCCCCACCCAAAAACTAGATCTACACCCCCACCCCCACTTTGCCGGTGCCCCTCAGTCCTGACCTGCAGCGCCCAGCTAGCCCAGCCCTGCGCTGTTTGCACATTGTCCTCCTGGTACCCCCAGCACCTGTGGGTGGCCTGGGGAGCACAGACCCAGGGGGATACAGTGAGGGATCCCAGCAGTGGGGGAGCTGGGTGGCATGGGGAGCTTCATGGGGAGAGTGGGCTGTGGGGGAGGGTCGGGGGAGGGATCCTGGCAGAGGGAGAGGTGGGGGACATGGGGAGCGCAGGCCAAGGGGGAGGAGATCAGGGAGGGATCCCAGCAGAGGGGGAGGTGGGCATCGTAGGGATCGAAGGCTGGGGGAGGGGGTGGGACTGGGAGAGGAATCCAAGTAGTGGGGGAGGCGGGTGGGAATGGGAGAGGAATCCAAGTAGTGGGGGAGGCGGGCAGCCTGGAGAGCGCAGGCCGGAGGGGTGTCAGAGGAGGCATCCCAGCAGTGGGGGAGGTGGGAGGTGTGGGGAGCGCAGGCCGGATGAGGAGATCGGGGGAAGGATTCCAGCAGTGGGGGAGGTGGGTGGTGTGGGGGAGTGCAGGCCGGGGGAGATCCTGGGAGGGATCCCAGCAGAGGGGGAGGTGGACTGCGTGGGGAGCACAGGCCAGTGGGGATCGGGGATGGGATCCCAGCAGAGGGGGAGGCGAGCGGAGTGGGGAGCCAGGCCGGGGGAGATCAGGGGAGGGATCCCGGCAATGGGGGAGTGGGTGGCGTGGTGAGCATAGGCCGGTGGAGATCAGGGTGGGATCCTGGCAGTGGGGGAGGCATGCATCGTGGTAAGCGCAGGCGGGTGGGGGGGAGGATTGGGTACAGGATCCCAGCCTAGGGGGAGGTGGATGGCGTGGGAAGCACAGGCTGGTGGGGATGGGGGGTGGAATCCCAGCAGAGGGGGAGGTGGGCAGTGTGGGGAGCGCAGGCCAGGGGGAATTGGGGGAGGGATCCCAGAAGTGGATGAAGTGGGTGGCGTGGGGAACACAGGCTGGATGGGAGGATCGGGGGAGGGATTACGGCAGTGGGGGAGGCGGCGGGGTGGGGAGCGCAGGCTAGGAGTGATGGGGGAGAGATCCTGGCAGTGGAGGAGGTGGGTGGCGTGGGGTGAGCGCAGGCCGGGCGGGGGGTTGGGGGAGGGATCCTGGTAGTGGGGAAGGCATGCGGCATGGGGAGCGCAGGTGGGGGTGGGGGATCAGTGGAGGGATCCCAGCAGAAGGGAGGTAGGCAGCGTGGGCAGCACAGGCCTCGGGGGGGGTCGGGTGATGGATCCTGGCAGAGGGGGAGGCGAGCGGAGTGTGGAGCACAGGCGGGGGGAGATCAAGGGGAGGGATCCCGACAGATAGGGAGGCAGGCGGCATGGGGAGCACAGGCCAGGGTGAGGGGGAGATCTGGGGAGGGATCCCAGCAATGGGGGAGGCAGTCAGCATGAGGAGAACAGGTCGGGGGGTGTGTGCAGTCAAGGGAGGATCAGGGTGGGATCCTGTCAGTGGGGGAGGTGGGCCTGGAGGGGGAACGCAGGCTGGGGGGGAGTGGGTGTGGGATCCCAGCGGAGGGGGAGGTGGACAGCGTGGGGAGCGCAGGCCGGTGGGGATCGGGGGGTGGATCCCAGCAGAGGGGGAGGCAGGAGGTGTGTGGGAGTACAGGTTGGGAGGGATTGCAGGAGGGATCCCAGCAGAGGGGGAGGCGGGTGGAGTGGGAAGCGCATGCCAGGAGGGTCAGGGGAGGGATCCCAGCAATTAGGATGGGGGGCAACGTGGGGGAGCACGAGGTCGGGGGGGGGGCAAGGAGGGATCCCAGCAGTGGGGGAGGCAGTCAGTTTAGGGATTGCAGGCTGGGGGGCAGTGGTCAGGGCAGGATCCCAGCACAGTTGGGCAGCCTGGGGGTGGAGCTCATGCTGGGGGCAGTGGATCAGGGACAGAACCCGGCAGTGGGGGTGACAGGTGGGGCCTGTCCATTACCCAGCATCCCGTGGCGTGTTCTCCTCACCCCATCCACTGCTCCGATCCTCTGCCCCGCACCCCGACCCTGTCCATTGGGTACTGGGAGTGGGGAGGAGGCGCCCATTGAGTTGGCAGTGTCTGGGCTCTCACTGGAGCGAGGGGATCTAACCCCTGCCCTGCATCCCGTCCCGGCCGTGGGCACAGCCCCTGCAGTCCTGGCACCATCCTGCCTCCTCACCACCGGCCATACCCACTTGTCTGGTTCCCCCCTACGCCCACCCTGGCTCTCACTCATCCCCCCGCCCCACCTGGGCTCTCCCCCACCCCAGCTCCCGTCCCTGGGCTGTCCCCTCCTTCGGCCGCCATCCTCCCACGGTCTCCCCCACAGGCCTGGTTGGCCTCCCCGCTCCTTCCGCCACCAGGGCCTGGCCACTGCTCTCCCTATCTCCTCGTGTCTTCCCCCCCGCCCCAAGCTCCGCCACCAGGTCCCCCCACCGCGCCCCATTCCTCCCCAGCGCATCCAGCGAGCCCCGGTAGGAGCCTTCCGCTCTCCCCTCTTCCCTGCGAGGGGGGCACCCGAAGCTCCCTCCCCGCCGGCCCCCCTGTCCCTCCCGGCCGCAGGATCGGGGGCGCGGGGCCGGCGTGTCCCTACCTGGGCTCGGGGCCGGCTGGAGCGATGGAAGGCGCCGATGGTGCCCGGGGGAGGCGGCGCGGTCCTGGGGCGGGATCCGGGGATGCGGAGACCGGGGAGATCCGGGTCCGAGGGGCGCCCGACGCTGGTGCGCTCCCGGGGGCGCAGGGACCCGGCGGACGGGGGCGCAGCGCCCAAGCGCTCCGGGACGCACGGGGCTGCTGGGCGCGGCGCTCGGCCGGGGCAGGGACCGGGCCGGGAGGGCGGAGACGGGGCCGGCTCGGTGGGTCGCTCGGTCCCTCCCCAGCCCGCGCCGGGCGCCTGCTCTCTCCGGCGGGGGAGGCGGTGGAGACGGCGGGAGGGGAGGGGAGTGGAGTGGGGCGGGCGGGGGAGCCTCCCTCCCTCCCTGCCCAGACGCCGGGGGGGTGGTGGGGGCAGCTCACTGCGCCAGCCGCGCCGGGGACCCACCGACCGGCCGCCCCCGGCCAGCCCGGCGCTGTGGCCGAGAGCTGGCCATGGTGCTGAACGCCCTGGTTGGGGGGGGGGCGGGGGAGGAGGACGAGGGTGGGGG